CGAGACAAGCTGGAAACTTTAAACTTTACAAAGATATTCCTTGCCTATGCACAGCCCCGATGATTTAAATTCGGTCTTCACGCGGTCCTAAATCTTATGTACGTACGCATGGAATTATGACAACACCGGGATTAGACTGAGCAGAAAGCTGTACAGGGCTTAATTTTACTTCTTTCTTTGCCGCTGACTGTTGAGTAAACTGAGAGCTCGCATCTTTCCGCATCTCACCTACGGACACGTGAAATTTGGCACAGACAACTTTGCAACTTCGGAACTAAAGAGGTTAGGGGAAATGGAATTTTCTGAGAATCGCCAACAGTCGTTTTCGAGCAGATGTTTTAAGTACGTCTCATGTTATGTTTTAAGTACGTCTCATGCAAAAAAAAGTGAAACTTGTTGCAACTCCTCAACCAAAGTCACTGAATGTCCAAACTTTCTGAGCACCGCCCACGATCGTGTTTGAGCAAAGGAGTAACATTAACGTTTCTCCTCAGTTGCGAACACATGCAATTCGATGTATCTTCGCAACCAAGGCGACTAAAGTGCTCCTCTTTTGCTCAATTTTTATACGACAATAGTAAAAGTAAAGCAAAAATAGCATTACTGAGTCTGATGCGTGTATCTGTTTGTTTAATTAGTCTTTCATACAAATGCTCATTTAACAATAGCAATTCTACGAAAAATAAAGTAAAACGCATCTTTGTGCCGGTACGACGGCAACTAGGTTTAATTTAAACATCAATTCATTTCAGAAACGATTTTTAAGGTGGGAAAAATAACGGACTAGCCTCCATTGATGGGTCGGAAATTACGATCCTGTTTCAGGAGAATAGTATCAAGGACACGTGTAATGTTATGAATTAGTGACGTATTGTACGGTACAGCAAAATCCCAAATCGCTGTTTTACAGTTACAGTAATGCAGTAGCACAATCAACAGAACAAAATAGATATTTTTTGCCGAATAACTGTTGAAAATCATTTTTTCTCGTACTCGTAGAATAATCCTGAAATTTATGGTAATTTTTTTAGCAAAAAGTATGCACAACCGTAGGCCTATAACTGCTGCAGTACGAAAGCTGAATGTTAGGCCAATAAACCCAATTCATATCATTATTTGCTTGAAATTTTGCATACATACATTCATTTCTCAGAAACGCTTTTTGATGGGGAAAAATAACGGACCAGCCTTCATTGATGGGTCTGAAATTACGCTCAGTCCACTTCATCCTGAAATTTAAGAATAACCTGCATTTGAATCTGAATTTATAAGGCAGGACAGAGTCCCGCATTTGCTCCGAATTATTTCGAATCTAAAAAGTGGAAATTAGCGCGATCTAAAACAATGGTACTTCTAGACACTTGACAGCGGGCCTGAAGGCGATTCTAAGCATAAGGGAGACCCAAAGTAAGCATCTATCTAAAATTACGGTACATTTAAAGGAATAAGGGCGAACTTCAAGCAATTATATTTGTAGGAACTGGATAAAGACCTAAAATTATGGTACTTCAGGACGCCACACAGTAGAGAGGAGTGCTACATAAACGCGTAGCTTGTTCGCGATCCATCCTCCTCGCTGTTTTGTTTTTACATCGACGGATGGGCGGTAACTCTTCTCCTCCTTCGGCCTGCTTGATCCAATTTAGAACAATTCTCCTAGTTCCCCTTTGCTTCCTCTTGTCTTCCTGTTTCTGCTCTTGTCTCCCCACCGTTTACCTCCTCAACGAGAGTAGCCAAAATAGTTCAACTTGGGGGATGATGACTTCTGCTGCAGAGAGAGACCCACACCCTTACTGCTCTCGTTGAATCCTTTTTAGAAATAATACTTGTCAGATTTGCTGATTTCTGCTACTGCTGCAAGCCCACATTGATTCTCGCTGAAGCTTTTTTGTTTCTTCTCAGGAAAATTATCTCCATTTGCTTTGCAAATGATGCCCTCTGTGGTGGTTCCTTCCTCCCACCCCCGCTTTCTCTTTTTTCGTTACCCTTTTTATTGCTCATACTTTACAGACGATGTGTTACTCATTGCGAGAATCAGGGTTATCAGGATTTCTTGGAGCGTAAAGTCATTTATACATCGTGGATCTTTGGGACCCGACATTTGTGACCGCTGCATCTGTTGTCAGAAAAGTTTATCAGTGCTTTGGCTGTTGAAATATGATCAACTATTAGCAACAGATCACTTCAAAATATTCATATTCCTTGTACGAGAGATTTGAAATAGCTATTTTTTCCAGTGGGAACTGCTTTTTGGAAAAGTTGCAATATTTGTAATTCATAGTCTGATTCGACGATTATTTAGTTAGCAGAAAATTTTAAGAGTTGCTTTGATCCGCGGTGTTTTCCTGAAAGGTAACCTGTCGGAGATTCTGACTTTCGTTTCGCACCTCCAGATTCGGCCTTTTAAAACTTTTGCCTCATTTGTGCTTACTGCATACCTACTAATCTTGAAAAGTTCGTGGCCAGATCTCATTTTTCTAAGCTTCCATTTCAAATGATTATATGATTTATCCAGAATTGTTTAGCTAAAAAGTTCTTCAAGCATTTTCGAGAAACATTCCAATGATCTCTGTAATAGGCTTATGAGACAGCGTCATAATGCATGTACATAAAAATATATGTGAATTAAATTAAAGCAAAAAACACACACGTGCAGAAATATTAATAGAGATAGAAGGAAATCTAAACGGTAATTGTACGCGGGTGGTTATATGATAATACACATATATACATATAAATATGGTAGTATTAGCTAGGATAAAGATGTTTCGCTCCAATGATCTAATTG